TATTCTTGTAAACAATTAAATTTTTTATTCGAGATTGCTCCTCATTGAATTGGTTATTAATATCATACTTAAATTTAGAGAATTACTTCCCATTGAATTATTTATTGATAATTAAGGGGTTACTTTCTATTGGGATGTTTGTTATTATATTTGTTAGTTTTTATTTGTTGTTAAGTTTATCTAAAAATTGAGATTATTGTTATTATTAAATTAGTTTTTATTATACTAGTTAATTTTTAAAATAAATTATTAAAATTAATTTTTTGAATAATTTTTAAAATTTATTTATATGAATTTTTATCGTCTAATATACTTTATATGATCTTCGACTCTTCACCTCCTCAAATTCCGTCACTGACCTTACCTATTATCAATAGACTGTAGGTGTAGGTGGGATACTCATCTAAATTTAACAATTCTTTATCCCAAATTTGAAATTACCCAATGAACTTTCATTGCCAATTACTGTTGAAAAATCAGGTAGGCCCGAAGACCCACAATTCGCAAATCCCTCAATCACATTCTCAGGTATGGAAAACAGGATTCAATCTACGCGTACTTGACTGTTCTTCAAAGTCTTAAAATATTCGATGAAAAACCAGAAAAAAAATTTTAAAAAAGAAAAGAAAAACCATCCAATATTGAGCATTGTGGGTGGCGAGTGCTGGGCCAGGCAGCATATGGCACCCCACCAGCTCCCAGCTGACCGAAAGAGCCACCACCCATTTGACAGCGGCTTTGTCGTTGCGTCATGGTTCGTGGTTCATGGCATTCCCACACCTACCCGAGAGCCCATCGCCAATGCCCACCAAAAGCTTTCATTTTTCTCTTTCAAAGTAAAAGTTGAAAACAATGCTACCATAGTACCACGAAAAAAACCATTACCATTAAAAAGAATAGGGCAGGAAAGGAAATCATGGTTTCTATGAGCTTTTTAGGGACCAGAAATTGGAAAGTTTAGCCTTACGACAACAGTTACTGGCAGTACTATAGGATAATATAAAAGTAATATTTGTACCCGTATGCTGCCTTGGGACAGCCTAGACCTCGCATTTTAAGCTTTCTTTCTTCAAAGGCACTTTGCATTGGATGTATAAATAACTCTCAGCTTTTTCTTTCTAATAATTGTTTGTCCTTTTAATCAAACTCTCATGCCCATTGCTCCCAGATTTATCTAAACGTTATTCGCTCCCCTTTCACTTGGTACTAAATTTCTTCATTCTCTCTAAACTACTTGTCTTTAGGAATATTGTGTGCCATTTACCCACCCGTCTTTTGTAACCTATAACTATGATGGGAAAATGGACAAACGGTAAAATCTTTGAATCAATTAGCAAACGAGTCAGGTAACATTGTGGTATGTAAAGGGTCAATGTTACTTTGGTTTTCATGAAAGGATCTTCTACTATTTTTTAAACCTTTTTGGAGCCATATAATCAATATGGTTTAATGGGTTCTGAAATTTTGATTGTGATGTTTTTACATACGTATATAATATGGTTTATGGTTGACTGTTGTTTCATTTGGTGACGGTCCATCCAACAAAACTTATATTCCCTTTTACTTAAAAATCCCTTGAAATGTGAAAGTAGAATGAGCAATTCCACCATTGTATTTTTTCTTCGGGCTTACCTAAGCAGCATAAGAAGAAAACAAACACAGAGAAAAAATGAGAAAGGATAACATCAATGTGGTTAAGCCTTTTCATATTATGCAATCCTGATGGGATTGGATTCCCTTTTTTCTTTTTTTTTTTAATTTCACAATATTTTTCTTTTATTTCTTGGGTTAATAGTTAAAACTAAATGGGTAGTTTTTTTTTTTGTTTTAATTTTCTCTGCCCATTGAATTTCATCTGTTTTGGTCCCAGATTGGACCCAAAAATCCACCCCAAGGGCATGCAAGGTCAAGCAAATGATATCATAAGCAAAATTATGTAATCCATTTCATGTTCCTAAACATTTGAATAAGTTCAAATTGGTAAAAGACAACACCAATCCAGCCACCCAATTAGGCCTAAATGAGTGTGATTAAAAAGTCAAGTGACAGGAGCTTTGGTTATGTAAAATATGAATTCAAAGGAAAAGATAAGTAAAAGAACAATCAAAAATAGATGGTGGGCTCTGATCAGGATTTGCAATGTGATAAGACAACTGAGCATGGGACCAAAGAATAAGTTAGGACTCCATTTTTTTTTTTTTAATATTTCATAAAGATATCCATCAGTTTTAGCTTTAAGATCCTGCACTCATCAAGCAATTTAGGCATGTTTTTGGGGGTTTACCTAATTGTGAGAGTACTCCTCTCGCAAAGAATGAGAAAGGAAAGCAGTTTCCCACATTTTTTTTTTCCTTCATGGTGCTATAAAACAAAGGCTTTGATTTAATGGAATCCTTCCATGGAAAAGAAAAAGTAAATCGCTTTTGGCTATTGCATGCTCTTGCTCTTTAGGATATAGGATGACGGATTGGTCCAAATAAGTCCCTGGGCCATTCTGGAATAGCCCAACTAAAAGAATGGCCCTCACTTCAACCTAGGTTGGGCCCTCAATTTTTAGGAGTCCGATAAATATTAATATATATTTAAAATGTTAAGTATTAAAATTTGTTAATGTGTTTTAAAATAGAATTGAAATGAGTTTGTGTCGTGTAAATTTGAATGTCTTTTATAATTTGTTTTATATATAAAGTTTAAGTTCGTGTAAGTTTATGCAAAGTTTGAATCATGTTTTCTATTAGTATTATTATGAAAAGATTTTTTGTTGAGATGGATTCATGATAATTTCTTGTCGTTATCAATTTAGAGGTGTGGTCTAACTTAAGGCTTAAGAAATTTAAGGACAATCAGGTAATTTGCAACCTTCCTCTTCTAACTGGAAACTCTTTTGTAATAGTCAATAAGCAAAGAAAAGAAAGAAAAAGTCATTCTTGCTTTGTTGTCAATATCTTCCCATCCAAACAAAGTATAGCACTTTCACATAATGCTCGTGTGACCACTACTCTCATTGCCATTTTCATTCTCATATCATTCGTGCTATTTGTTGCATTCAATGATGATGTAGGCATAATTAATTTATTCAATTATTATTAGTTTTTTGTGTATTAAAAGGAGTTTCCTTCCTTTGTCTTTGAGTTTACTTTCTCTAGGCTTGGCTTAGCCTTAGGTTGAGAATTTTCACTGGTGGTATGTACCCTTTTTTTTTTTTTCCTGATTGGGACAGGGAGACCAATTCATGAAATTTGGCGGTGGCCTAGGATAGGAGAGTCCAAGGTGCTAATCCACTCCCATCTACAAAGGATTTTATCCCCACTTGCATACTATTATCGCCATTTAAGACCATCAATCAACTCCAAATCCTCTCTCTCTCGCTCATTCTTGCTCAACATTTTCTTGTTTCAGATGCAGTCTTTCAACACAAGATCAGACAAGAATGATTTGATGTTGGGGCGGTGGGAAAATATATGGTTAGTAGATATGGGAAGAGAAACTTTCCAGATATTAAGAAAGGTTGAGGTAAAGGAGAGAATGATTCAAACTTCAAACTGAATTCAGATTAAGATTTGGCCATTTTGATTTAGGGCCAGCATTTTTCTGACTAATTGAGTGATCATGGCTGGCAAGTCAATTGACTGTTGAGATAGAATATGGAGGATACTGTATTAGAATATGTCCCTCTCGTATCATTTTCTTTACCCTTTTCTATCCTTCTTTATCTCTTTTCTTTTAAGCATTCCTTGTTGAGAGGGCACTAAGATACTTTGTAGATAGAATGGACTTCACGAATCATATCGGGCCTACGCTCCCCCATAAAGCTTTTGCTGCTATACTACCAAGTGCTAATGTCACGGGGCGATTCTTCAGACCACCCTCCGTGCGGCTTTGAATTCAGCCCTTATCTCGGCAGTAGAACCCAAGTCAGCCTTAGTGCTCCAGCACTTACTCAGCAAGCTCCAACACTCCCACGATGGCTTTAAGCCGGCAAGCAAGCTTGCATAAAAGAGAAAGGAAGACAAGAGAAATGCTAGCAAAGAGAAGCTAAGCTTGTATTGAATGAATTGAATTGCAATGTATCCAATGAGATGATTTACACAAAAAGCATGGGGTTATTTATAGCCAAGGTTTCCCCACATTTCCCTCCAAAAGTTTTCCCTCCAAAGCTTTTCCCTCCAAAAGTTTTCCCTCCAAAACATTTAGGAGGGAAAGCTAAAGTTTCTAAAAGCTGGACTTTCCAGCAACTCAACACATGGGTCTGGTGGGCAGGCACCCTCTTGGGCCTCCTGGCGGGTTTGGGCCGCGCACAGGTTGCGTGTCTGGGCGCTGGCGGGCTGATGCGCAGAGGCCCTGCGTAGGCAGTCTGTCTGGGCACTGTGCAGGCCTGCGTGCTGCTCCCTTGCCGAGCCATTCTGCGTGCCGTGTACCTGCGCGCCGCGCATCGACTGTGCGGGCTGTCGTGCCCGCGCGCAGTCTGCCTGATTCTGTCGAGCTGTCTCGCCCAGGGGCTTGGTCTGTTTGCCCCGGCTGGCACCCTGTCGAGCTGGCTCGCCCAGGGGTCTGTGCGCCCCTGCGGGCGCCCTGCACCTGCCTTACGCTATCCAGTGGGGGGGTCCTTTCCCAGCAATGCTCCCCCACATACCGGCACTTTGAGACACCTTTAGTGTGCTGAGCTGTGGCCCATGACACTAAGACTATCCTACCTCAAATGGAAAGAAAAATCAGTATGGGAGCCTTAATAGGTTTGCCATGAACAAGCATTCCTATTGCTCTAAAGTTCCGGATGAATGCAACAATTATACCATCAGGGCACCATAAGCCTTTTTTTTTTGTTTTCAATTCTAGCTCCTGCACCAAAACCAGGAGGCATATAGCTATTTGTTAAACACTCAGTTCCAACCACAAATCACACACGTGACTAAAATGCTACAATAAGTCCAAAATCAATTCAGATTGCTCGTTCAGCAAAGTTGCAAAGCACATTAGTTTGCCTCATAATGACAGAAGTATTAAGTCAATTCAATGTCTTATCTATGTTTAATTGCCACAGCCAACATATCTCAATCCAAGACATAACATTCGTAGCAAAAATTCAGGTTCAGAGGTACAGTAGCTCAAGGAAAATTTACAGAAATAGATAATCAGGGGGTAGCAGCAACTACATTCCAAGCCCCCCTTGGTAACTAAGAAGGAGAGGCCAAAAGAACAAGACAAATCTAATCTCCGCTTGCACAGCCTTTACATCCACAATGGACACATTCAATAACCTTTTCTTCCCTCAAGTGTTTTGGCACACGGCAGACACAAGTTGTAGCAAAGTTGTGATCCCGGGGCTGCATGCATCTCAAGCAACACAAACGTTCATAACCCGGCTGCAACAAGTAAAACAAGAAACCATAAAGATCAACTACTACAAGATTAAATTAAAACTTCAGAAAGAGAGAAAGAGAGCAAGAGAATATGTTTATACGTACATATAGTAGATACATGAATGTATGTCCATTTATATGTCTATTTATATAGCATATACACACATGCACACCATATATGTTATAGAGAAGAAAAATGGAGTCTGAGATTTCGAACAAAACAATCATCAATTAATATGAAATAATTTAGAAAATAATCAAACATGACCTAACTGAATTGCCTAATCCTGTGACCTTGCCAGTTCCAGAAAGACAACAACATACTATTTTCCAACAATACTCTATACCCATTGTTTGTATTCCTTTTGATTGCTCAATAAAACAAATATGTTAATCATGCAAGTCTCATATATGTCAAAAATATGATTGGAGGGCACTTGATGATAATGAACTAAGATACAGAAGGAGCAGAGGCAAACCTTCTTCCACTTCGCAAGAAGATTGCGGTCAGCATAGCCTTGGTCCAAGCAGAACTCATACAACTCCTTGGATATCTCCTTCCTCCGGTGGTAAAGGTCAAAAATATAGCGGCTCTTCTGGTGTGCAACTTTGAAAATAGGCCACAATGTCTCGCATTTTCTCTTACCGTCATGAGGATCATTCTCAGCTGTCCAAAGAGTTGATAATTAGTTCACCACATCAAGATGATAGTAAAAGATTCAACAATTAAGTAGAGAATACAAAAATACTTCGATGCATAAAAAATCCACCTTCTCTCATCTTTGCTTGTAGTTCACGAAGCGTAGGCTCAATCAATTCCCATCCTTCCGGAAATTTTACACGGTTTGTCTTCACCTTCGGCATTGTTCGACCTGCCATTAATGTCCATTGACAAATTACTACCATATATTTTTCCTGGCAATTTTTCATCATGCCACAAAACCTAAATCAAAATTATGTAAAAAGAGGTATCTTGCCGATAATTTAAAAATCACAGCCTATTGCCTACTTCTTTAGCTCCTACGAACCGGAAATAAAGACGGAAACGCTCGGTTTTTTTCTCTCTCAATTAGAAGCTAAATAGGAGAGGTAGAACTCACTGCACCTGCAAAGTACGGAGCTTGAGGGTGAGAGAAAGAGGAATTAGGCTAAGAGAATAGTCCTCAATCAACGACAGAAGTCGATCTGGGTCGTCTGCGTCACGAATTGGGATTCCAAACAGAACTATGTCGGTTTACGCGGCGGGCTGCTGATGGAACTCTTGTGCTTCGATTTTGCGGTGTTTGGATCGACAACCTGCGGGCTTCAAGTGAGAAGAGAGAGAGAGGGAATCTATAAATCGCCCCACACGCGTAGCAATAGGAGAGCAAGAGTCCACGTTGGCCATGGAGTAGAATGTTTATCAAAAATGAACTTGGGAAACGACAGCGTTTAATAGCTAAATTTCTTGAACTTACCAAAAACTGTTTTTCCTTGTCTACAAAAGACATCATATCTATATTAATTTTTAAAATTTTTAAAAAATTTAAAAAAATTATTATCTTTAATTAAAATTTTATATTTTTATTTTAAATTAAATAATTTTTATAATTAATAATTTATTTATCGAAAATATTATTTGTTATTTTATATCTTGAATGTACTAATATGCTATAACAAAAGATGACATGACGAATTAAAATGACATGACATATCCTTAATTTAAATTCACCAATTGGCTTACCATACAATGCAAAACAAACCCTCAATCTCTGCATATAGAGAGTGAAACAAGAAGCACAAAAATCCCAGGGCAAAAATAAAGCCAGCTGTCAAGCAGATAAATCCCTAAATTCAGGAATCAATAGACTATATAAGATATAGACTGTTGTGTCCAAATCCAAATATTCAACAACTAAGCTCATCCCCATAAAAGCATACTCCTTTGCAACATAATATGTGGAGTATGGGCAATGGAAACTATCCATCCTACAGAACCATTAGTACAATTGAGCAACAATGACAACTCTTGGTTGTATACATGATTAACTAAATTTGACAAAATTCAAGCCTTTAGTTGTTTCAACTTCTCTTACTAAAAGCCTCAATTATTCAGACTTATCTCTCAATACGCACATACTAACAAAAAAGTGGAGAAACAAAAAATATGCACCATGGAATCGGTTTTGACAATCATCTCATTTGAGTATGCTGACTGCTGCTGGAGGTAGCATCCTGGTGACTTTCGATTGTGTCTGGTTGATGCGTATTTGCTATTTTCTCCGCTTCAGCTTTCTCAAGCAAGGCTTGTTGTTGCATGTTTGCTATTTTCTCAGCT